CATCTTCAAGCCCCATTAGGATCAAATTTCAGGCTATGGGCAGAGTTAGCCTGCAATGCTGCATTCTAACTATTGCATCATCAAGGCAATGTACTACATTTACATCAGAGGTGGGTTCCTACTGATTCGGACTGGTTCAGCCGAACCAGTAGTAACTTGGTAGCCTGGGTCGCTAGAACTGGCAGCAACCCAAGCCTGCCATGCCACCAAACCAGTTCTCCTATAGCGGCACCATCTTGATTTTCAGTTATGCGCATGTGCAGAACAATTTTCATTGCAGTAATGTAATTTTCCCCCCTTTTTTTTAATTTTCTGCACATGCCCAGACCTTTTTAGGTGCAAATGTGCATGTGCATGAGCAAGCAAAGTGAGTGTGCTTGCACATTTTTTGCGTGGCGAACCGGCAGTAATGCCTGCAGCAATCCGCCCCTGACTTACATTGTTCTGAACGTAAACCTAGAATCTGAATAAAATAGAAAATCAGATACAGTATAAAACTGTGAACAAACAAAGAGAATAAGAGACCATTTACTGTGTTCCAAAATGAAACCTGCAAGGGAATATCAGCGGGATAATAATGATAGACCGGCTTGTATATTAAAGCATAAGATAAAATAAGATATTGTAATATCATGGTTGGCTTTAAAAATAGTAGTTTATCTATAGACTCTTCTAAAAGTAATGCAGTTACAAAGATCATCTGTGAATACTTTTTCATTAACATTTCCAAATTCTCACTGTTAGAAACTGAAAATGAATGGAGCTTCTTATATCACATTTACCCTAATTTTCAAACTGCTTTTCAATTCTCGTGCAAATAGTGCTTGTCACAAAGAGCAAATTACTGAGGAAACTTGCAAATACTATTTAATTTATATTCCAGCAATTCCAGTCAGTTTTTAATTCAACACCAGTGCAACTAGTGGATGGGATTGCCCTCTCATAAGCAGTTGAACTATTGGTAATGTTTTTCAAAGTTCAATATTGTTGATAAAATAACAAAGATGGAACTTATTGGCTAAGTTACTTACTTTTTGTCAGTAGTTTGCTTGAGTGCTCCACCTCTCAAATTACAGAGACAACATTCCTATGGGAGGGGAGGGGAGAGCTTAAACTTAAACTGCAATAAACTTTATATAATTGATTTTAAGATAAAAATAGTTAACCTCAATATTATCTTTACCATCATAACACAGCATAATATAATTAACAATATTTTAATGATTTTCAGTGCTTTTTTTCGATATTAAAATATTTTAATTGGATTCCTCAAAAAAGGTTGATGGAAGTAGAGAAATCACATGACATTCCGGAAATAGAATTTGTACAAACTTGTTAAATGTTATAATATATGAACAATACACTTAAATCTGCTAAATTATTTTGGACACATTACAGGTAGTTCAAGCACAATCGAGTCCAACATTTCTGCAGTTGAGACATTTGTTAAGTGAGTTTTGCTCCATTTTACGACTTTTCTTGCCACAGTTGTTAAGTGAAACACCAAAGTTATTAAGTTAGTAATACGATTGTTAAGTGAATCTGGCTTCCCCATTGACTTTGTTTATCAGAAGGTCATAGAAGATGATCATGTAACCCCAGGACACTGCAACCAACATAAATATAAGTCAGTTGCCAAGCATCTGACTGTTGATCACATGATCATAAGGATCCTGCACTAGTCATAAGTGTGAAAATGGTCATAAGTCACTGAATGGTCACTAAATGAACTGTTGTAAATCAAGAACTATTTGTACTATGTAGCCTCTGCTTGAAAATCTCCAGGGATAATAACCCATTCCTCTGGTTTCAACTCTTACCATCAGAAAATTATTTCTAAGGCTTATACTGAATCTATTTCCCTGTAGTTTCATCTGACAAGTCCACTTTCTCCTCGCTATGATCATCCTTCAGATGTCTTAAGACAGCCATTAAATCATCCTTAGTCTTCTCTGTTACAGGTTAAACATTTGCCATTCCTTTACTATTTATAGGATAAGATTTCTTCTGGCTCTTTGTCTCCCTGTCTCCCTGTCTGTCTCCCCGTCTCCCTGTCTGTCTGTCTGTCTCTGTCTCTGTCTCTGTCTCTGTCTCTGTCTCTGTCTCTGTCTCTGTCTCTGTCTCTG